TTTATTTCACAAGGATAACAGCACTGCACGGAGGCAGGCAGGAGAAAGAGGACTAAGGAGTAAGGCTTGTTTTTCTCCTTGGTCAGTGCATTCTCCATTGATTGAATGAAATTCTACCCACCAAACTAAGGTTCAATTCAAACCTGGCCTCTGTCTTAGTTACTTGCCCCAGCTCCCAGGAAAGGAATTTCTCTCTTCTCTGAACTTCTATGGTGTTTTTTTTTCTATGACATATTTTACACTTAACTAGCTCTCTCTTTATATGCTTTGGCCTTTATTCCCTTGGATAGATTGCTAGCTCTGCATGGGCCAAGACGATGGCTTAGTCACCTTTGTTTTTCCTCTAACTGAGCCTAGCCCAAAGCTTTCACATGGTAAGTTATCGATATAAATTTACCATTTTAGTAACAAACACATATACCTTTTGCTATCTACCCAATGATATGCAATATCTCCTTTAATCCCCGTGTGACAGGAATTATTATTTCCACTTTCAGGTGAGGACATTAAGGCTAACATCACAAAATTGGGGAGAACAAATGTTCTAATTCCGATCAGTCCGACTCCAAAGCCTTGAGGTTTTTACTGGTTTCCTCTGTTCTCTACTGGGCTCAATTATCATCAGCAGAAATGGAATGAGGCCAGATGCAAGATGGTATTGTTAGAAGGCAAGAGAATAAAACTCACTAGGAACTCAAGCACAGCGCATTTCCTATGCATTGCTGCTTCTGTGACTATAAGGATTTTTCTTCTCTTTCTACTATTATCCAACCTCTAAATCCCAGGTGTTGCCCATCTGTTTTCAATTGCCTATGACCGTCCAGATAAATGGAATCTTCTGGAATGTGTAAGCTCACTGAAATGGCATCTTGGTGGTTCCTTCCCATGTTCTCTTTTACCAGTTCTCTCAGAAGCAATCACGACACTCAGAATTGTTATAGCTAAGAAAGATGGCAAGGTGGTCCCATGGACAGGAGCAGACTGGAGACTGACAAGGGAGGTCCTTATTCACACCCAGCTCTGCCACTGACCTGCTGAGGACTCTCAGTTTCTCATTCTGTAAAATAACAATAAATAATACCGATAATCACAGTCACAATAAGTGTTGAAATTTATTCTTGTCAGGCACTGGGTTAAACCTTTCCAGGCATTGTATTATTGAATTGTAGCAATCACCTCATGTGGAAAGTGCTATTATTAGATCCATTTTTAGGATGGGGAAACTGAGTCAGAGAGCAGTTAAGCCATTTTTCCATTTATACTTACCTCCCCAAGAGATATAAAGAGACTATGTGACATGACAGAAATAAAAGCACTTAGAAATACCTGGGAAAATATTATCATGGCTTATGGATCTAAAGTGTGTTCTTGCTTGATGAAATAAATGCGTTAAACTTTCTTTCCATAGATCAAAACTGTTGACTAAGATTCATGATGGGGAGGTCAGATCCCAAAATTATCAAGTAAGTGATTGACACTTCCTACCCAGCCTCCCCCACTTCCTGTGTGAATGAACAGCCAGGTCCAGAGTGTGTCCGTGTTGCTTTGTGTCGTAGATTGCCATAACCGTTACCGAGGCCCGCCAGCTGGTGGGGGAGAACATCGACCCCATTGTGATCGTTGAAATCGGGGATGAGAAGAGGCAAAGCACAGTGAAGGAAGGAACCAACAGCCCATTTTACAATGAGGTAAGCCATGGAGATGACCAACATTCTCTCCACCGACACTCTCTTCACTGACACTCTTGTATTCTTCAGCCAAATAGAAAATCTGTGCCCCAATCTCATCTTAGATGACTGCTTCGCATCAGTCATCTCTCTGAGTCTCCTAACAAACAGCCCTATATAGTTTAACAAATAGATAATGGAAAGGAGAGGTAAGGAATTTCTCCTAATTTTAAATACATTACTATGTTTTTAATAAGACCCATTTTCTTGTTTCTTATAAGCTCATCTTCAGCCATTATAAGCTCTGGGTTGCTAGTCAAAAAATGTGTTGGATGTTGGTTAGTGAGAAGATATACCTTTTTCTGAATAGCAGGGATACTGGAAATCTAATTAATATTTTTGAAACAGGCATGCTGCGTTGGGAAGTGAAAGAGTTGTATTTTTTAAGCAGTGTAAAAATTGTAAAGGAAAACGTTAAAGAGAGACACAAAGCTTCTAAATATTAACCACACTAAATTCTCTTTTTTAAATAAAAAGATTACACAGTAAAAATATGATAAAAGATACAAAGACTATAAAATGATATATGGTGAAACGTATGTGCCTCACTGATCTTTGATCCCTAATAGCTTAGCTTCCCTCCCTAGAGGCAGCCATTCTCACCAAGTGTTTTTATATCCTTCCAGAGAGATTCCAGGCACGTACAAGAATACAAATAAACATTGTAACCAAATGGTAGCATCTATACACACTGTTCTGGACCTTGCTCTTTTCAAAAACCGATGTGTCCTGGAGATTAGTCTATATCAGGACATACAGTTCAATCTCATTTTCACTCATTGCTGTCGAGTTTCGCATTGCAGGAACACACTGTAATTTACTAAACCAGTCAATTTCTCATAGATGGATATTAACATTTTTTTCCAGTCTCTGGCTACTACTTAAGTAATATTTATGTGGCATAACTGGGGCAAAGAATATATGCATTTAAAAATTTGATATCACCCAGCTGCCCTCCAAAGAGGTAACAATTTATACTCTAGCAGTATACAAGAATGTTTGTGCTTCCTTACACACTTCGACACCATGAGTTATCAAAAAAAAAATGCAATAAACTCTTAATTGTTTTCCTAACGAGAGTGGTAATTGAAAACGAAGGCAGAGAGAGCATGGATAATGAAACCAGTAGAAAATACCCAAATCCCATTTGAGCTGTTAACTCCTTTCCTCTTTATCACTCTTGCCTCTGAGTCTTTTTCCATGAGTTGAGCGGCAGTTGCCTTGTTCCTGCTTCACTCCCCACCTCCATAACACCTTTTGGCATGGATGTGATATGAAACAATGTGCATGAAAATGCTTTAATGCAGAGCTCTACAGATTTAGTATAATTGGCATTTGCTTTACGCATACAAATCCTGGAACCAGATGACATTAAATTCTACCCAGTTGTAATAAGTAACACAAGTTGAATTAAAAACCTTTGTTATAGCTTTTGACTCTCATTTAATTGTCAAGTCCAAAGTTCATCAAATGTTGCAGGAACTGGTGAGTAGGGGCTTGAGAATATTTCCCAGCTAGAAAAATGTGTGTGGGCTCAGAGGTCTAGGGAACCTGCGTGAGGCAATTGAGCCTGAAATGTGAAACTCAGCAGAAGGCAATAAACATTAGAACTAATTTATTGGTCCAGAGGAACCCACGGTATCTCATATATCAGAGACTGAACATTTTCATGTAAGTGAATTTCGCACATAAAAGAACTTCTGAACACCAAACTCTTAAAAAGTTTGAACATATATATGAAAAACTTCCTGAAATATTACACGTTTTCCTGTTTTCATAAACAGAATACACAGGATATACTCTAACCTTTCATTGCTACCTAAGGAAAGCCATTATAATATATGATGACATCTTTCAGTTGCCACATTTTGGTTTTTCTGTTATGCCCATTAAAAAACAGGCTGTCAACGGTCACTTCTCCCTTTCCTACTGCTGTCATGTTCATGTCTAATGTCTGTGTGTCCCTCCTCTATCCTGCAGCTCAAAAACAAAAGAAATGATGCATAAAACACCTTGCCAGTTCCACCTCCTACAACCCCATCAGTCCCCAAAACACACATCCCACAACAAAACACCATTCCAGTTTCCTGCACCTTAGGATCACACGTATAAGTTCACATTTGGGAGGTACTTGATGAAGTTCAGGTGATGAAACATCTAGTACCTGAGCCCCTTGTGCAATATCTTCAGGAGAACCCAGCTTTGGTCCCAGGCCCAGCAATGACTAGCTATATGACTCGAGGNGTTTTGGGTATCAGCTAGCTATATAACCCCCAATTCAGTGGTTTAATATAATAACCATTTATTATTGCTCATGAGTCTATAGATTAGTTTTACTGGTTCCAAATAGTCCCAGATACATCACTCATGTGTCTGTGCTCATTTGGCAGCTCTGATGAGTTTAGTCTGAGGGTTAGCTGGTGGTAGAATGGTCTAAGATTGCGTCAGCTGGTACCACTGGGCTCTCCTCCATATGGTATCAGGTCCTCCAACAGGCTGGTCTGAGCTTGTTCCGATGGTGGTGATGGCAGTATCCCAAGAGAAAGAGTGGAAGTACCCAAGGTTTCTTGAGGCCTAGGTTTAGAATTGGCAAGTTATTTCTGCTGCATTCTATTGGCCAATGTAAGTCACAAGACCAGCCCACATCAGTGAGAGGAGACTACAGGTTACAGGGCAAAGAGCGTGGATACAAGGAAGCAAATAATTGGGGCTATGAATGCTATCAGTCTGCCATATTTGTTTATGTCAATTTCTTATTCATGGTAGTTCCTCATGCCATCCCATCTTTATCTCAAAGCAAATTAGTGTTTCCCGGATGGCAGATCCTGCGTTGTTATCACTGTACTGGGACATGGCCTTACTAAGGCAGTGTATGTGGGGAAGGAACAGAGAGGGTGGGTGATTGATGGAAATCAGAGAAAGTGGTATCTTCGAGGCTGACCCTGAAAAGAGGACATGAAATTGGTATGCACATACTCACTGCACTATCTCCTTCCCCGTCCACTGCACCACGACAACCAACTCCCCCAAGCACCTGAATAGAGATTTCAATGATTTTTAAACATCCTTTAAGGGATCTCTTGCCTTTTATTTCACAAGGATAACAGCACTGCACGGAGGCAGGCAGGAGAAAGAGGACTAAGGAGTAAGGCTTGTTTTTCTCCTTGGTCAGTGCATTCTCCATTGATTGAATGAAATTCTACCCACCAAACTAAGGTTCAATTCAAACCTGGCCTCTGTCTTAGTTACTTGCCCCAGCTCCCAGGAAAGGAATTTCTCTCTTCTCTGAACTTCTATGGTGTTTTTTTTTCTATGACATATTTTACACTTAACTAGCTCTCTCTTTATATGCTTTGGCCTTTATTCCCTTGGATAGATTGCTAGCTCTGCATGGGCAAGACGATGGCTTAGTCACCTTTGTTTTTCCTCTAACTGAGCC